ATCGATTCACTTACAGTCACACTTTGTGTGTTCAAAATCCCGGTAACAAAAATGAGTAAAGTTTTGTTTTTGCCATTCGTGTTTATACTAATTTAGGTTGCAAGCACAGCGCAAGTCACATTTCATTCCTTTGCAGGTCTAAACAAGCGTCCCGGACGAGCGGGCGCACGGGAGGCACTTTACAAGTCTCGAATTGTGGTGTACAATTGTACTATTATCTAATATTCTATTCAATTCTGTTTTTGAACAGTTTCTTGAATATTTTTGACTACCTACTTTGTGAATGATAGTGCCTGCCTACGTTGACAGGTAAATCCAAGCTAAAATTTTTGTTCATTGTTTTGAAAATCAAAAAAAAATTCGTTTTATTTTTACGTAGTCGTGGTCCCCTTATGGTCTCCTATGAAACCCTGGGTGTCCACCTGGACCAATCCCGTTTGCAGGTCCTTCAAAAGAGTCATTGCCAAGGCAAAGTCAGAGCACATAGGAAAAATTGGCGAGAAATTAGTTCACCTTCCTTTTGAAACCCATGCATTCTGGTCTCTCGCCAAGGCTGTCCAGGGTAATTTCTGTCTGCCATCTTTTCCATCTTTGAACAGGGAGGTCGACTCAGTGGCCCATGCCGCAAAGGAGAAATCCGAACTGCTAGGCTCTTTCCTTGCGTTCAACTCGACTCTCGATGACGGGGGGAGTTCGCCCCCGACCATTCCGTGGAGTGAGTGCTCCATGCCGGAGGTGCGGCTTACACAGCACTCGGTTCGCAAAGCACTCCTCTCCCTGGATATCCACAAGTCGAGTGGGCCTGACGGTATCCCCCCAATTGTGCTGAGGACGTGTGCTCCAGAGTTGGCACCGGTCTTAACGCGTCTTTTCGTGTACTTCGACTCTCTAGGCGTAGTCCCAAAATCATGGAAGACGGATTTCGTCCACCCGATCCCTAATAAAGGCGACCACTCAGACTCGTCCAGCTACAGGCCCATCGCCATCACCTCCTTGTTCTCCGAAAAATGGAATCCATTGTAAACTGCCAGCCCATGAGGTACCTTGAGAATCACCAGCTGATTAGCGATCTTCATTACGGTTTCCGTCGTTGTCGATCAGCTGGTGGTATTCTGGTCAACATGACTCATAGAAGGGAGGCGGCAGTAGAGTCCAAGTGGGTAGCATTGGCCGTGAGTTTGGACATTGCGAAGGCCTTCGATTGGGTTTGGCACAAAACGCTTCTTTCGAAACTCCCTTCTTATGGACTTTCCGAGAAATTGTGCAATTGGATCACCAGCTTTGTCTAAGATCGGAGCATCAACGTCGTTGTGGATGGTGTAAGTTCCGATTATAAGCCTATTAATGCTGGTATTCCACAAAGCGAATAATCGGCAAAACTTTTAAAATAATCGGTAAAACAATTCAAATATTCGTATCATTATTTTTCAGCATTGACGTTAGAAAATATCTGCTCCGCGAAAAAAAACTAGCCACCATTTTTTGCCGAAGTTGTGAGGTCTTTGCAGTTTTGTCGGTAACTGTCATTTTGAGTAGACCCATACCGATGATTGCCTTTTATTTTCCGGATCATATTGATAGATTCATGTCTCGTTATCAGTAACGATTTCTACTTTCTCCAGATGCCCCGTTTTCAAAACGTAGACACATTTCTTGGCACCTAATCACACGAGTCCGTTTTTAGCTTTCAGGGAGCAAACGAGGGATCCATCGACATAAACGCTTCCTCACTTTTAAGATGTTAATGTAGGATGGTATGAATGCTCCCTGAACTAATGCCTACAATCTTTTTGATGTCTTTATATGTGATTTCTCTCACCAACATTTCAGTAGTCTATACATTTTTTGCCGTTACTGCTGCTTGCAGGCCCCCAATTTTTCGGTCATATTTAAAGTTAATTTTATCCCTTTTAAATTCAGCAACCCACCTAAAATTATTGCACGTGATGGAGCTTAGTCCTTTTATACAGATTGTAACCGTTGTAAACTTAATTGTTCAGTTAAACTAAATTTAAAATCATAATACATCATCGTTTTAAAATGAAAAGCGCGGTAAGCGTTGCAGAAAAAATAATAGGACTTTGTTTTATTTTTATATTGAGCAATTAGTTTATGGAGTTCTATTTTTAAATAACTTTGCTTTTTAGGAACATATAACACGGGTGCGTTCCATTTTTAAATTTCGAGCATCTCAAAACTTATTGAGTGACCTACGTACTAGGTGTTTTTTAAATAAGTGTATACTGAAAATAAATTTAGTTGTCTATTGACTGTGGTCAATAGATATCTATATTAATCCTCGATAAGCAATTAAAATGCAGAGGCGTTGTCACCCATGAGGACTAAGGTGGATTGACTCGTTTTCAGTAAAAAGGTTCTCCGGTTCACTAGACTCACCATACGAAACACAAAGCTGCTATCAAAGATACATTAAGTAAAGTTTAAGTTTCGAGAAATACTAATTTAAAGAGTTGTTCGTGTAATTATGTACACAAGTCCGAAGTTAAACTTCTTTACGATATATCATTCTTCTATTATTTTATATGTTGTGTAAGTATACCCTAATAAATTCCTGGCGATTTTTAGTGTTTCTCCAACTTCGCTGTTTGTTTAATTTTTCATTACATGATTAAGAGTCGTTACCAATTTTTAGTTCCTTCAACGTTTAGGGACATTTTCAAATTTAATGACACCTTTATGAAATAACGGTAAAAATTAGCACACAGTCCACCTGATTATAAGGTGATACTCTGTTGCTATTGTGTGGTGGTGCTCACGTGACTAGATACTTAAGTAGTAGTATATAATAGTAGTTATCCCTAAGTAATGTTACGAGCTTAGGGTTCGTGATCGTAAAAATTGCCGATTGAATTACCAAAATTGACACTTTAATTACCCAACATCAATTAATACTTAAAACACACTACCAATTAATCACACTTAACACTTTAGTTCACTTTATTTCACTCCGAAGTCTTCACTTGTGTCCCAATTCAATACTGCTCCGGTCGCGGCCAATAACGGCTTAATATAGACATTTTCCACCAAAACATCTAGAATGTTCCAGCAAATACCAGTCCCGGCCCACTAGATGTAGAAAATTCGAGTGTGAACTTTTCTAGAAAGCTTAATTCTTCTATTCAACACTAGATGGCGCTGTTGGGAGAGTTCTAGAAAGATCTTGACACTCTTGTTTCTGATAATTGATAGCAAATGACGCTAGTTCCATCAACTGTGGCGCACAACAGTAATATAAATTTCCTCCTCACAAGTATGAACCATTTCCGGCTTTCTACACTTACCTTATGAAACAGAACAGCATTAAATTAATATTTTACGGTTGTATTCTGGGAAAAGTCAGGAACTTTAATAGAACCCCAAAAAGTTAAAAAAACTTTTCCTAGAGCTCCAAGTTAGAGGAATAGATATTTTTTAAAATTAAGACATTTTGTTAGTAAATATTACAGTGACATATTATTGTCACGTATTTAGAAAAATATAGAGATAAACATAGAGGTGCAATATCAGTTGCCAATGTATAATATGCTCGCAGCAACAATAGATGGTACCACAAATATAATTGTATAACGCTATAACCGTTCTGTTGCTATACCTTATAGGTGTTGGATGATTTTGATTAAAGGAGTCAAAAGTGGTAAAAAAAGTGCAGTGTTTAACTTAATACTATTGAAGCATAAGGGGGTGAGTTTAGTCGACAATTATTAATCAAACAAATGTAACGTAACCCCACTTTCAAAAAGTTAAGGAATGCCTTTACTCCGCTCTGATTAAAATTCATCGAAATTAGAAAGCGAAATTAAAAAAATTACGATTTTGCTCATGGGACCGTGAAAAAGCAAATTAGGAAAGGCTTAACTAGGTTAGTAAGCGGACGACAAATGGTCACGTCAGTTACGGTTCGTTTACAACACATCTGAACCAATCTATGTAATTAATAACAATTAATTACGATTTAAGCTCGATAGACTGGAGCAGACTATAATTTTTCATCATTTTTATTATATACCTATTATACACGCATATTTTTAAAACTGTTTGAAAGATATTGTCAATTAGAAAAGGAACTCCTGCAAACAACTTCAAAAAAGGAGGCTGCAAATGTGTTGTCGCCTCATAAAACTTAAATGGAATGCACACGTGAAAATAGATACGGCGAGGTTCCTAATCAGTCTAAATTATTTCTTTATACATGGTTAAATGTTCATGTCTGGTACACGTTCCAACTTCGTCGCATATTGGCAGGGCCACTGTAATGCTTTTGCACACATCCGCGTCCCTACCAGTGCCGGCCACCACGTGGTGCCGTGGTTAACTATGAAATTGGTACGTCGAACACCACAATACGCCCCCCTCCCCGTGGTTTTAAGTGCTGTAAAGTACTCTAAACTTCTTGAATATAATATAAGTAAATATACGCGATATAATAATAATAAAACGGCGTAGGGAAGTGACGACCCCATCGCTCGCTGACGAAACAGTTAAGTGACAAAACTGCTACGTCGGTGCAGTCAGTCAGCGCCTTGCCAAGAGGTGTGAGCGCCGTGCCTCAGCAGTACTCAGGGTGCAAAGGCCCGTTTGTGCTTACGGCCGTAGAATGATACAATAAAACGGTGGCGGGCCTGGGCATCTCCCGTTAATTGGCGCCTAAAAATGGATGATGGATTGTAATAGAAAGCGTATAGGGCCGCTGCCTGGGGGTCGCCGGGCCGCTTCTGGAGCTGGCGCCGGACGCGGCAGCATGCGGGCCGCCAGCCAAGCGCGAGGAGCTGCAAGATCACCTAGCAGCCTCCCGCATACATCATGCCCACCAGACGGATTAATGTCAGCAGGGTCCTCTCGAACTCGCCAAGCGGCATCCACCGCTGGTGGGGTGCGCCGCATGCGTGCATGGATGGACAAGGGATATGAACGCAAACGCATTGCGGGCGTACTATAGGGCGAAAGGGGAAGAAACTGCAGGGATAGCGTATCGGGCTCGGATGCATTGCTTTTTTGCTGAGCTGGAGCCGTCTATTGCCGTCACGGGACAAAACCTGACAGACCGAGTTGGGTACATCATGCGCTCGAAAATATCTGATGATGCCGAGATCGAACGACTACTTGAGGCCATTCCCTCATCGAATGAATTGGCTACGGATGGGGATGCGACTCCTCAGGCGAAACACCAGCTGCCACGCGTAGAAGCTGCCATGGATCTTCCAGTTGTGGTTGATTCGGACGATGATGAAATGGTCTTCCACGAACTAGAGCAAATGAGGAGTATATTGGAAGAGGCGATTTTGGAAACGCGCATAAAGCCTCTCGAAAATTGACCGCGACTTCCCCGCATACCCCTAAGCAAGCGAAATCGGGCTGTCGTGAGGGCTCTTAACCCAATGCTGGTAACCTATTTGGAAGCCAGCTTTTTGGCACTGCAGTGGCAGCTTGCCGCATTATTGGCGCCAAATTTCCCATGGCTGGACGCGATACTAAACAAAGTAGCGCCATCCCAGCCTGGAGAAAAAGAATTGAGGACCGTATCGCAAAGGCAAGGGCCCTTATCGGCAGACTGACAAGCTTCAGGTCAGGTAATAATAGACCGAGGGTTGTGCGCACCGTTAGAATGGCGTTTGCTGGGACAAATATCAGTTTGTCCCAGCCGGATATCACGCAGAAACTAACGGAGCGCATAGACGATCTGAAGCAAAAGATCTCTGCTTGGGGGAAGCGGATTCGCCGATTTACCGAGAGGTCAAGGCGGTTCAACCAGAATCGTCTCTTTCAGAGTGATCAGAAGAGGCTCTATAAATTATTGGTGTGACCAGAGGTATGTGGAGCGGGCCCAGGACCGGATCAGGCTAACACTGTCGCATTTTGGCTTGACCTGTGGTCAGAGCCCGTAAACCACAGCGAGGGCCCTTGGACGGAAGTTGTGGCGACTCATTGTGTGAGTCTTACGCCCATGGACCCCGTCATCGTAACGCCGGATGACGTAGCTGAAGCGATCCGTAGAGCCCCGAACTGGAAAAGTCCGGGACTCGACGGGCTCCATCACTACTGACTGAAGGGGTTCATGGTGTGTCACGCTGTGATCGCCCGTCAGTTCAAGAGGCTCTCAACCAGAAGTTCGTCGCTAGCCTCTTCACTACTGGGATCACTCATTTGGTTCCTAAAGACCAGGTTACCACAAACCCGAGCAAATACCACCCCATTACGTATCTACCCACCATATATAAGACACTGACATCCATTTTGAGCGCGATAATAACTCGTCACCTGAAGCTAAATCGGGTGATGGCATGCGCTCAAAATGGATGTCGGGGCGGTGGTCGTGGAACTAAGAAACTACTCCTCATTGACGCGGTCATTAGCAAAGTGGTGAAACGCAAACTTCGGACATTCTCCGCCGCCTGGATAGACTACAGAAAGTCATTCGACTCAGTGGCCCATACATGGCTAAAGAGAGTCCTTGAGCTGTAAAAGATAGACTTTACAGTGAGAGACTTCCTCAAGCAGTGTATGGGGCAGTGGAGTACGATCCTTTGTCATCTGGGCGAGCGGATGATGGCTGCGGAGAACCACATAAGTATAAGAAGGGGTATCTTCCAGTGCGATTGTCTGAGTCTAATCTGGTTCTGCCTCTCTCTGAACCCTCTCAGTACCTTACTGGATGGATGCGGGAGGGGTTTTCAGCTACGGAAAGGAGGGACAAAAGTGACCAACATTTTCTATATGGATGACCTCAAGTTATTCGCCTCCAGTCGTTCCCATCTTATGGAATTGCTAAACATCTTTCACAGTTGTGTAATTTCGCAATTCCATTGGAATGGAGCTGGGGACGGATAAGTGTGCGGTCCTCCATGTTGAAAGGTGAAGGGTTACTAACTCTGAGGGCATAGATTTATCTATTTCCGTCAACTTAAGGGTATGTCACAGAATATAGGTATCGATGAGGCTGGTATGAAACAGTCAGTTTGCGACGCGTTTTATGCACGCTTGACCAAAGTGCTTAATAGCCTTTTGTCCGGTGTGAATAAGATACACGCATATATTGGTTGGGTCATGCCTGTCCTCATGGATACCTTTGGCATACTCAGGTGCACTCAAACTGAACTTAACGCCCTGGATAGAAAAGTCCGCACTACTACGACGTCCCATAGGATGCATCATCCGAGATCGTCGGTAATGAGGCTGTAATTGTCGTGAAGCTGCGTGTGAATCGTGAAATGTGTAGCCTCCCTCATTACTTTCTGGTGATATCGGATGATACATTCTATAATGACGTCATTTCTAGTGATAAAGGGCTTACCCCTCTATCCTTTGCCAACCAGCAATGGCAGGACACAGCAGTGCTTAACATTTCCGACCAGTAGACCGTATGGAAGGAGAAGGAGCTCAACGGGAGGTACTACAGGGCTCTACATGAGCCCTTCGTATATACAGTCGTCTCCCTCAACTGGCTACGTTTCGGTGACTTCCTCGGGGAAACCGAGGGTTTTGTTTGTGCGATACAGGAGCAGGTTATTAAGACCAATAACTATCGGAGATACATCCTAAAGGATGGCACCGTCGACGTCTGTCGAGCTTGTTGCCATCCTGGTGAGTCGCTTAGGCATGTCATCTACGGTTGTTCGGCGCCTTCTAACTCTGAGTACTTGCACAGATACAACCTTGTAGCCAGAATTATACAATTACAAGTACTTGCCGGAAGCCGTGCTCAAAAATTACCACGCCAGGCTCTACTGGGACAGGACTATTCTTGCCTATTGAATAATCCTGATATTGTGCTGATGGAACGGGCACAGTCAAGGATATTTTTGGTCGACATTACCATTCCGTATTCATTCCGAAACAGATAAACGAACAAAATATCTGGACCTGGCTCACGATGTGACAGAACTGCTGGCAAATGGGCTAATCTCAGTCAGCCTCTCGTTTCATCTGAGGCGACTGGGACTCCATGACGGACCGCTCCGGGCTCAAATGCAGAAGGCAGTGCTCCTCGATACCGCCCGCAACGTCCGCCGGTTTCTTTCCCTTTCCTCCTAATCCTCGGCCGTCCTATCTCCCCTGCCGAGGGCTTCTATCTGGTTGGATATTTATCTATATGTGTGTGCGTGTGTGTGTGTGTGTGTGTGTGTGTGTGTGTGTGTGTGTGTGTGTGTGTGTGTGTGTGTGTGTGTATGTGTGTGTATGTATGTATGTATGTATGTGTGCGTGTATGTATGTATGTGTGTATGTGTGTATGTGTGTGTGTGTGTGTGTGTGTGTGTGTGCGCGTGTGCGCGCGCGCGCGTGTGTGTGTGTACGTGTGCGTGTGCGTGCGTGAGTGTGTGTGTGTGTGTGTGCGTGTGTGTGCGTGTTTGTGGGTGTGTGTGTGTGGGTGTGTGTGTGGGTGTGTGTGTGTGTGGCGTGCGTGCGTGTGTGTTTGTGCGTTTGCGTGCTTGTGCGTGCGTGCGCGTGCACGTATGCGTGTGCATTTGCTTGTGCGTGCGTGTGCGTGTGCGTGTGCGTGTGCTTGTGCGTGTGTGTGTGCGTGTGCGTGTGCGTGTGCGTGTGCGTGTGCGTGGGCGTGCGCGTGTGCGTGTGCGTGTGCGTTTGCGTGTGCGTGTGTGTGTGCGTGTGCGTGTGCGTGTGATTGTGCGAGTGCGTGTGCGTGTGCATGTGCGGCGACCGCCGGATATCGCCGGATGAATAAAAAATCATGAGTGCAATTAGTTTAATTTTAATATTCGTGTTTTAAAAAAAATACTAAAAAAAGGGCTCGAAATAATAGATTTTGTCACAAAAGGAGAGAATTCGGAAAAAAAAGAACAAAAGTCGGGACGCGAACCAGGGCAACTCGATGTTGCGACCGCCGGATATCCCAAATGAGCTATTACGATCATTAATATATTGTCAAAATTTACCTTCTTATATTGTATCAGATTTTCATTGCCTTAAAACACGGACAAAATATTCTCTAAAAATAAATTCTACCTAGATCGATCTATTGTCCGCAAAACCCCGTCGACACTAAATTTATAATTTATAATATATATATATATATATATATATATATATATATATATATATATATATATATATATATATATATAAGAATTGCTCGTTTAGGGGTATTTTATAATATAATTGGCTTAATATTACGATTACTTGATGCGCGGTTTTAAAAAGTTTGTTTAATTTACCATACAGTAATTTTAAACATAATCCGTAAAAACTAGTTTTATTTAATGTCTAGTGTTCGCGTAAACATAAGAAATAATTACGATATACGTAGAGCTTTATATAACCTAGACGTGAACTTGGTCAATTGGTATTATGGTATTCTCGCAAGAGTACGTAAGCATTGTGCGCGTGAGTTGTCTCCTGTTTTGACGTGCCTGTACCGCCTTTCTCTTAAAACTCGATCGGTGTCAAAATCTTGGAAACTTGCCGTTGCGCAACCAGTACCCGAGAAGTTGTACCGATCCCTGCAAATATCAACCGATCGTCATCATCTTCATACTTTGTAAAGTTATGAAAAGTGTACTGAATAATAAGCTGCTGACATATCTTGAAACATATGACCTCCACAGTGACTACCAATATGGCTTCCACCGAAGATGGCCCACTAGGGATTTTCTTGTGTATATCATGCATTTTTGGGCGAGGCTATCGAAAAGAACGGTGAAGCTCTCGCAGCCAAGCACCACCAAAACACAGACATGTCTCTTCACCGCAAAATGGAGTCCATTTGATCTAAATCCTACTTTCCCAGGTACATCTGCAGAGGTAACTGTTTACCTTGATCGTCTCGGCATGCAGTTGTGTGTTAATCTAAGTCTTGTTACCAACATTGAGTCTAAAAACAGAGTATCCTTAACAAGGTAATGCGGTACTTCACGCTTGATCATCTTCCAACTTAATACAAAGTTCAACTCCGAACATCAATGGAATTTTGTAGTCACCTTTGGGATGGATCAGACAAATATCAACTTGCACTTGAATTAATTGGCGAAGGGTCAATAGGCTTACCGGCTACAAAAAGTTGATGGAAACTAAGCTTAACAGCTTAGATCACCACCGCCAAGGTGCTTGTTTGTCAGATTGTACTTCGAAGAAAGTATAAACATTTGGGGGCGCTGAAAAATAATTTATTTTCAAAGGGTGTAGTAAAAGAAATAAGTTTGATAATCTCTACGCTGGCCTAAGAAGGACATCCAAAAATGCCATTTAGAGTCTATCAAGCGATTCGTCCGGTTTTAGGCAACATTTTAAGTATAAAATCGTCTCTCAAAAATGTCCCCGGTGACGCAGATCTATTCTTCAATGAAATACGATATTTTAATAA